AACCTACAATAGCAACTGATAATAGCAACACAAAGAAGTTTACACAGCATTATAAATTGCGTCATGTTAAACTAAATTAACATAAATTAACATAAACTAACATAAATTGTGTAGGCCTTCAGTCTCCAGTATTTATTTTGTATTTTATTTTTTATTTATATTATTTTTCAACAATTATAATATCTTTTTTGGTTAAGAGATTATTAGGTAGTAGTGTTTTGTTTATAAGGATGCTTTGAGTTGATTAATGTGTATCAACAAACTCTGGTAATAAATAGCTTTCTTTCCTTCTTCATTCCAGCCACCTACATGACCAAAAAGTAATAATAGTTGAAAATTAAAGAAAAATTGACCATTTCTGTATTTATTATTTTTTCCACTAAATTCCTAACTAATTTAAAGAAAGTTGTTTTATTACTCCTTTCCATAAAATAGTGCACCGTGATCTCAAAACATTTAATTTATACCTGATTAAGTCTAAAGGCGAAAATCTTATTTAAAGTCAGAAACATAATTTCTAAGAATATGTAAAATTTATATGGGTTTTGTGGTTTATCTTCCTACGATAAAATTTGTCGTAGGAGACATTTAATGTCTTGCAGATTTAACGTCTTGCATTTAATGTCTTGCAGACATTTAATGTCTTGCAAGACATTTAATGTCTTGCAGAGTCATCTCATTACGCCCGTATACTTTTGAAGCACTCTTGCAACCCAGTACTTCAAAAAGTAGTAAGAATTGTAAGAATTTTGTCCTCTTCGCATTCTTTCATGTAGAAAAAAGTCCTGTAGAAAAAAATTGGGAAGGGGGCACGTACCTCCTGCCCCTCCTCCCTCGGTAATGTCGGCCCTGATGCTGCATGCATGTTTTTGTTTGCCATAAACTTTTTTAAGTTGATAGATTCGAGGCCTTATAAAATTCATTTATGTAAATCTATAACATAAAGTTGAGTAATCTTTAAGTGTTTGTGTTTTTTTACCTAATTTCACTTGGTATAATCAACTTATCACAAAGCAAAATGAAGTAGCAAAGAATTTGCCTTTTCCACCAATGTATCTTTTATCGCAAAAACGGTCATCAAACCATAGACCTTTGGTTCCGAAGATTCACTGCGTATCTATGCCATTTGCACAGATACGCAGTGAGCAATCTAAATACAACATATAAGATAAATAATTTTTTGTTTGTTTTAGGTGCCTAAGAAGACCTAACGGTCTTATCGCAGAGAACTGCTTATAGGAAGTTCACGTCTCCTTCTTTACCGATAGCGCAAAAGCCCAGAGCTCACTTCGAACCCTGGATCTCTTGCTTATAAAGCAAGCGCTCTAACAACTGCGCCACGGTTGCTTGTAGATGAAGTTGAATCAAATTATATTAGTTTGTCTGTTAATACAATAAATTCAGTTTGTTTGTTAATGCAAATTCTTTACTAAAATAAAATAATTGACATATACTAATAAATAACAAGATGTGCAATTTAATGCTTTAAACTAAGATTGTGTATGAATATGGTGCATCATCCTTAATTTGGGGTATAACTTTTTATATCTTTGCATATCTTATAACTTTTTATATCCAAGTTGGCACTATAAAAATAAAAAAAAGATGAATTTTAGTTTGAAACTAACTACAAAGTCATTGGTTTTATATACTTTTTGAAAAGCTTTTTAAAAAAGTAAATAAAATCAATGACTTTTTAGTTAATTTTAAACCAAAATTCATCTGTTTTTTAAAGGGCTGGGATTACCTCAAAGATTTAAAAAGTTATAACCCAAATGTTCATAATTTATGAGACCATTATGAGACTAGTATGTCCTTATGTAATAAAAAGCGATCACTACCAGATAGAAACCTAATTTAAAAAATGTTATATGTAATAGTGTAAACATTTCACATTTATAGAAAGACAACGAAAGTTTTGATAAGTTGTTCATAACGGCCGCTCAAATTTGAAAATAAAATTTTATGACTTTTTTATTATTTTTCCATGGCTTTTCCATGACTCTTCATAAACTATGATAAATCACTAGAATAAAATAATCATTCATGCAATCAGCTGTTGCCATTTGGTCACTAAAAAACATGCAGATTAAAAAATTAATTGTTAGAAAGTTCTGAAATCATGTCTGAAAAAAAACTCTGATGTTTGCATGGTAACTGACAGTTTTGATAATTGAAACCATTTTAAAAATAAAGGCACATAATCTTTTTAGAGACCAAGTAGTGACGATAAGAGCGCATAGGAGCGCATACTCGTTATGCTACCCTAACTCTAAAGAAGTTATGTTACCCTAACTCTAAAGAAGTTAAAGAAGTTGGATTTACTATTGTTGGAGAACAGAAGAAGAAGGGGTAATTTGATACAAATATTCAAATATTTGAAAGGGTACGATATTATAAATTTTTACACAAAACCCGAAATGCTAGATAACGGATATAAAACTAGAGGTCACAATAGTAAACTGAGAAGGCAATATACAGGAAATATAAAACGACATAGTTTTTTCACAAATAGAGTAGTAAACGAATGGAACAATCTTGAACAAGAAACAATAGACGCAGTCAGTATCAACCAGTTCAAAAAAAATTGGATAAACATTTTAAATACTAACTTTTATTATATTTGTATGTTAGTGTGTTACAGCTGTTAAAGTAATTAAACGTAGTTTGGACTCATCACTCTTTAAGTGTACAGCACTATTATATTATTATATTAACCAATTCGTCGTAATATTACTGTTGTTACTGAATATTATAAATTATTTACTGTTGTATTATTTGCATTGACATGAACTTTTTATTACCTTTGGTATTGTGGTTTATCTTCCTCCGGCTAGTTGCTATATAGAGGGTACATTACCAAGGCCCGCAAAGACAAGTTCAGCTTCCCAAGGAGCATCAGAACTCGCTCTACGGACCAAGAGTAAAGTGATTTTGGAAAGAACGAAGATATGTTAGAGTGAAAGATAGAAGTAGTCGAGATAGAAAGATAGAATAGAGAAAGCGGACAGGATTGCACACAATGTTAGAAGGTGCAGTATGTTAATATACACATAATTGACTTAAGTCAATTATGTATCAAGTCTTAATTCAAACCTTTTTTGATTAAGTTTGATAAAGACTTTTTATTACCTTATAATTATTATTATATTATTTTATTATTATTGATAAAGACTTTTTATTACCTTTTAGACTCAGAGGGTTGTTTTTAAAAGAAATTATTTTCATTAAAAAAAAAAAATATTTTTAAAATAGGATAAGATTGCTTGTTTTGTATTATCTTCAGTTCCTAAAATTTTTTTGAGGGTATGAACCACCTTAAACACGAAATACTGCGTTTCTTTAATACGGCTAAAAAGCTCGATTTAATATGTGCGTTTCTTTAATATGGCTAAAAAGCTCGACTTGTGCATACCTGTAAATCTTTATCTTTTTAATTAAATCTAGTGCATACCTGTAAATCTTTAATTTACTGAACTATTAAACTTTATTTTAAAAGTTTATTTTCCGCATTTTAGTATAAAAAAGATTATATTTGCTAAAAAGCAAATGTTTTTGTTATATTTTTGTACCTTGTAGTTTCTTGCTTATTATCATTTTATTATCTGTAAGGTACTATCTACAAAAACATTTTCATTAACTTCATCGCTATGATCATTATGATATTGCGATATATTTAATATATAGTTTTTCACGATAACTCGAGAGTAACTTTATATTTAAATAAGCACATAAATAGGTTTATTATATATATCGCGATATTATCATAATGATCATAACGACGTATTTAATGAAAATGTTTTTGTAATCCTATTTAATATTAAGCACTAGCTTTTGATTAAAGTATATAAAAAAATTCTTTTTATTTATTTTGAAAATGAATGATAACATTATTTACAAGAAAAATTTGAAAAAACTTTATTCTATAGTTTTATCATTTATTCTAATAAACAAAACAAACATTTTTTTCTTTAATTTTTCTTTTTACAAACATTTTACAGACAAAAAAAAAAAAGATATAACAAAATTATCATTATGTAAATAATAATTTTTTTCTTTTATAGAATATGCTACAAGAAAAGAGGCAAGAGGTGAGTTTGTTTTAAAATTTGACTTAAACTCTAACGTTTGAACCATTATATCTGTCATTTGGGGTGGAAACTCAATTCCAGTGAGCAAATCCAGGTTTCGCGTTTTTTATAAAATCCTAACCCGAATTATTTAAATTTGTTTAAATCGTTTAAACTCATTTTCTTATAATAATTTAGTATGTTTATTATATTAAATAATTATTTTTAAAATATTATAGCAAAATGTTTTATAACTTATCACTATTAAAAGCAAATTCGATATTCAAGCACTTTTTATATTCGGGTCAGGATTTTATAAAAAACGCGAAACCTGGATTTGCTCACTGGAATTGAGTTTCAATCGTCATTTGGACTCGTACGATTCCAATATTTAACAGAATGTCAATTTTGAAGGACGCTTTAGATGGAATATTTAACAGAATGTCAATATTTAACAAAATGTCAATGTTGAAGGACGCTTTAGTTGGAATATCAAAATTTAAATTCCAATATTTAACAGAATGTCAATGTTGAAGGGCGCTTTAGATGGAATATCAAAATTTAAAAACTTTTTAAATCTCTATGTAATATGTAAAAACAAAGTTTTTCGGGTTGGTTTTATATACAAAATGTACCTTTAGATATCTTTAGTATAATATATATTTTAACTACTTTACCCCCCCCCCCTTTTTTTTTTTTTCTCTCTCTCTCTCTATTAAGTAATAATAAAATATTTAAATTGGAAAAACCTTGTGCTATAAGGTATTTGTAAGGTAAAACAAACTGTAGTTGGGTGTAGGTGCTTAAGTAAGCTACGTTTAGCCACAATAAACAGTTTTTACTTCGACGATTTAGGCAGACAAAAATAATTTTGTCTCCCTTAATTGATCTAATACCCCACTGTACATCGTTATTTTACCACGCTATGAGTTTAGAATGATTAACATTTAAAAAACGAAAACAAAATTTAATACAAATAAATCATCAGCGTCAGAGAATCTGACAACCATTCGATAATTACAATGCTTCGAAAATTTCCGATAACACCTAAGAGAAAGAAATGCATAAATAATAAATACTAAATAACACATATAATAAATATATATATATATATATATATATATATATATATATATATACACAAATATATATATATATATATATATATATATATATATATATATACATATATATATATATATATATATATATATATATATATATATATATATATATATATATATATATATATATATATATATATATATATATATATATATATATATATATATATATATATATATACATATATATATATATATATATATATATATATATATATATATATATATATATATATATATATATATATATATATATATATATATATATATAAGTAATAATAACAAAATTGACATAAAGTAAATTGACATAGTAAAACAAACTTTAAATTTGAAAATGGATAATTTAACATTTCTCTTAATTTTATTGTTTTTTTTCTCTGGACCTTTCTGAACAGGTCTTGTTCATATCGACTAAGCAATAATAAAACAGATCTTGCTCATATCGACTAAGCAATAATAAAACAGGTCTTGCTCATATCGACTAATCAATAATAAAACCTAAGTGTGCTTGATATAGTTTTTTGAATTATAACTTTTTCACTTTCTTTTATCTTGAGACCCAGTATCCAGGATTTTTTAGTGTTAGAGATAACTAACTTTCTGACATGGAGCAAACTCAAAACATTTGTATGTTTATACTTATGTCAAATATTGAGGCTTTGCAAACAATTGCGATGATTAAAGGCTAGCGAAAAAGCCCTTCGACTTGAAATTTATTACTTAAAATTCACTTTACCCTAAAATTTATCGATGAATATAAATCTAGTTGAGAAAAATACTATTTTTTTTTATAAACTTGTTGCCCCTAACGTTTGGGGTGGGTGGGGGTATGAAGTCAAATGTAATTTTCTGATCCAAGCCTCCAATCATTGCAATTTTTGCAAAGCCTCATTATTTAACATAATTATAAACATGCAAATGTTTGGAGTTTGCTCCATGTCAGGAAATTAGGTATCTTAAACATCAAAAAATCCTGGATCCGTCACTGCTGGCGAGCAAAACAGAAAAAAAGCTGAAACCGAAATAAACCGAAATTTCGGGTACTCTAGTTCGGTGCCGAAACCGAAACCGCCCTTTCGGCAAATATTTTACCGAAACCAATACCGACATTTCGGCTGGTCAAAATTAACTTCATTAGAAAAATTTATTTAAAAATGCAATTTTTACTTTTGTTGTTTTTTTAAACACTTGCTATGTTAGAGTTGATTACACGCGTATCAAAAATTGCTATGTTAGAGTTGATTACACGCGTATCAAAAATTGCTATGTTAGAGTTGATTACACGCGTATCAAAAATTGAGATTTAATACATAAGTTGGCAAAATAAGTTATAGCGAAAGTTGGCAGATCCAAAACTACAAAACAAGATTTTTTTTAGGTATTTTGCGAAACTCTCAAAATTTTTGTAAAAATTCTTAAAATATTTTTTAAGAATTTTTACAAAAATTTTGTATCTAATTTAGAAAAGCAGTTATTTTTTATTCAAAAATAACTGCTTTTCTAAATTAGATACAAATTTTTTAGTTATCGGTATGTTTTTAAACCGAAATTTTGCTTTTTATCGAATTTATAAAAAGTACCGAAACCAAAATTTCGGTATCGGTTAAAATTGAAATTTCGGCCGAAACCGATACCAAAACAGAATTTCGGTCGATCACTAGCCATTGCTGATACAATCCATTTGTTATGTAATTTGCTACTATATTCAATATAATATTTTTTAGTATTTGTATATATTTATTTTTGAAATTTTCTTCTGAGGCTAAACAATTTGCATAAACCTTGAGTAATTGAGTATTCATTAAATCTTCTGAAATTTGAATCTGGAGTAACTGATTGATTATCTAATCTTCTTTATTGCATCATTAGTATGCACTCAAAATACCTTCCAGAATCATTTCTTTACTTACTAAATTAAATCAATAATAAGTCTTTAGTAACATTCTTTAAAAATGGTGAGTTTGCTAGCGTTTTCATAATTTTTTTTAACACAGAAAGGATATTCACAGAAAGGATATTCCAACATTATACAAGAAGATAATTTTTTTCCATCATATTATATTCAATTTTTTGATATTATATATCCTAAATATATAAATACCTCAAAATCAACAATATTTAGGGTCATTTCCATTTTTGCAACTCAATCTAAGCAGGCTTTATGATTTTATTCTTTAACCCTTTACTTGGCCTTGACACCAAATGGTATCATCACTGATCTCAAAATATAACTGGATAGCGTATACGGCAAATTTTTTGAAGCCAGTTTTGGCCTCCCAAGATGGCGGCGTATTTGTTTATTACGAATTTAGAAATTTTCGTAACGAATTTTTATATCTTTTTTTATATAAAAATAAATGTACAAGTCTCAAATACAAATATAATTTTTGGTTTTACATAGCAACAATATTACATATTTACGTAAATTTCTAAAATATTTATAATATTTTGGTTAACAAAATATACTCTAAACAGTAAGTTTGTCAGTAAGTTTATTTTATTTAATTTCTAAACAGTAAGTAATTTCTAAACAGTAAGTTTGTTTGTCATTAAATCTTTTTTTTTTGTAAAAAATTTGATTAAATAGGATAAAATTTTTTAGTTAAATTAATTAGAAACTAGTTTATTTTAATATTAGTAAAGAGCACACAAAAAAATAGTACCTAAAACCTAGTAGATAAACTACTAGGTTACTCTATATAACTAGTGATAACCTATTATTAATAGCTTATTACTAGTTATAACCTATTAGTTATTAGTTATAACTAGTTATAACCTATTAGTGGAATTAAAATAAGACTCTAGTAGTTATTAACAATTTCTAGACAACTAAAATAAATGTTTGAAATGTAAAAGACTGAAATCATTTTAATCATTTTTTATTTTTATATGATATACAGATAAAAAGTTTATTTATGGTAAAACTAAAATGAAAAGTAAATAAATGGTATATTATAACATTTATTTAGTTTTACCATAAATTAATTGTTTAATATTGCTTTTTATACAATTTATGTACCTTTTAGTTCTTAACTACCCAATGCTGTGTGCTAGAAGGTTAATAACATAACTGCATGGTAGGCAGCTGAATATCTTTTTAAAATAAACTTTTAATTAGTTTTTTAAATAGATATTATAAATTTACAAATGCTGCATGAACTATTAGCTGAGCTCTGTGAGTATACACAACTCAGGGGTTCCTTCTAGAATTTTTTTATATGTAATTATTTGTACATTATTTTTTATTTGGTTGTATTCTTCTAAAATCACTACACACACATATGTTTGTATATATATATATATATATATATATATATATATATATATATATATATATATATATATATATATATATATATATATACATATATACATATATACATATTATATACATATTGTATAAATATAAATATATACATTTAATGCAAATTATTTATTTTATATCATTTTAGCTGTTTATCCAGCAATCTATGAAATTTTTTGAATTCAAATAGAATGCTGCAATTTGGAATATCTGCATAATCGTGGTCAATATTACCAAGATTATGTAGATATTTGTGATTATTCCATTTTAATATTGAACGCTCAAGATCATAAATATGTGAGATGAAGATATATACGTGGCTGTAAATTATTGGCAATTGATATTGTTGTTAAACATTCCCGCACAGCTCTAATAAAAAGCTTATATATTTAATAATTTTATGGTTTATAATAATTTTATTTATAATTTTAACCTACTTTTCCCACTCAGTCAAATATATCTTAAACAGATTTAATAGCTACCAACTATCCAATAAAACCAGTTTTTAGACCAGACAATTTATAAAATTGTTTAACTGCAACATGCATTTAATTAACATAAAAGTCACCAAACTATAGCATATAACCATAATACTTAACAGCAGGTAAACAGTATATATAACTTTAGTTATGAAGATATTTCAAAGAGATGTTTTGATTATTTTTATATTAAAGATTTAATTAATACATTTTTTTCAAACAAATGTATTTTTACATACATTTGCATCCTTATTTGTATTGAGTAATTAAGTAAGAAATGATCATTAACTTTTTATTTGTTTTAAAATTTGTTATAAATAACATAATTCAGACCTGTTTTTTTAACAGTACAAGTGACAATTTATGCAATAATAGCATTCAAGTATAATATAATTCTAGAAGAAACCCTTGAGTTTCTGTGTACTCACAATTCTCAATTAATAGTTCATGCAGCATTTTTACAAATTGGTATCTTGTTACAAAAAATAGAGAATATAAAATTATAGGTAGAAATGATTGCTGCTTAACATGCTGTTATGTTATTAACTTTCTAGCATACAGCATTGGGTAGCTAAGAACTAAAAGGTACATATATTATACATAAAACTAAAATTGTAAATTTTACTAATGCCATTTAATAATAAATTCAATTATAAAAAAAGATAATTCCTTTTTTTTTTTTTTATTAATTATAAAATTCATTATTTTCTTCTGTTTCTTACAAGTTTACAAAAGCTTAATTTTTTTTTTTTTTTTTTTTTTTTTGTATTTTGATAAAGTAAAATATAATATATATCGGTTTTACCGCTAGGAACTAAAATCGCCGCCATCTTGGGAGGCCAATTTTGGCTTCAACTTTTTTCGGAAAAAACAATAGAATCCGCTATCCAGTTATATTTTGAGATCAGTGGGTATCATTTACTTTCAATAAGAAATTTTTTATGTTCCATATAACGGCAACACGAATAAGTTATTTTTTTTGCATCTACTACTCTGATACAAATAAGAAAATAAAGATGTTAAAGTATTTTCGCGCGTTTTTGATGTTTTTAAACAATTAGGTAAGTGACTAACTTTATCTGTATGAATTTTGATTTTACCCACGAGATATAGCTATTGAATTTGTAATATTATACACTG